GTCTCACAATAGCGGTTTTATTTCTGATAATACCAGACAGCCAAAGCGATGAGTTTCCAAATTTCGATGTTGAAAAAATGCAACGTATTCAGGAATCTGACAATTTGAATATAACTATAATATAACCATAAAACGCTGGTTCAATCACRACATTCCTGCGCGTCAAGAGCATTGGCCACTTTAATAGCTTTTCTCCGGCTTACCAAACTCGATGCGGACTTTCTTTTGACGCACATACAGTCACTACACGGGTGTGAGCTTCTGGCCTTCAAGGCGTTATCGTGGATCAAAGAGCCTACAGCAGGGACAAAGATAAGTATGCGTTTTACAGAGCCTCGTGGGATTAGTGCTGCAACTTGTGATGAGAAAACATTGTTGGCGGTGTGCTTACAGGAAACAGTTGTAAGCGTACACTGTGGCTTATATTCAAAAGTAATAATCTTAAATAATTGAACGTACAATATTTTTGGAATAGATTAGTTCCAAGCTGCAGCAATATAACAAAGCTGAGGATAAGTGGCAAGAATACGCAAGTTTAGAAATCGATTACCATAGAACTATTTTAAAGAATGATAACATATAAGGTTGTCAAATATCTCCCTTCCTCTTTTTTGCTCTTTATTCAATGCTTTATAAAAAGAGTTACTGTGGAGGGATTTAGCTGAAACATGCGCCATCATAGTGGCTGATTCCCTTCCAATCCCACCAAACTCACAGCTAAACCTGGTGTAAAAATTACTAAAATTGTCTAACTGAAAATAGTCACTAATTTATTTAGCCGCCCTGTTAGCTCCATTAAAACTAAATACAACATTTATTGCTTTTTTTATATTACAGGTAGCTGCACATAATGGTCACAGTTATCTGTTAGGCGATTGGAGTGGTAACAGAACTGTTGAACGTTATGATCCTCAGCGAAATACATGGTCTAAATCTAAGGTATATTAAGTTGATTTATACCTACCGCTTGAGGTCAAACTGAATATGCTTGAAAACATTTTGCAGATTTGCTCTTTGCATGGCTATGGTTATAAATGCCTACCGCTAGACAATGCTGGCAAGACATGTGTATCAGTCTATGACAAGGAAGATGACCGTTGGGGCCAAAGGTGCGCATAACCCGGAACTTCTATTCATTCCTGTTGTGTTGTGCCTGCAGACTTGTTCACATCGAAATAAATGAACAATATTAATACATA